GGCTTGGGCTCGACAGTCGCACAGTGTTGGATGTGGGGGGTTTCCGAAAATAGGGTTTAGGGTTTAGGGTTTGTACCCTTTGTGGGGGCGCTTTAAGGGGATTCTATTCTATTTGGGGTTCCCTTTAAGGGGATTCCATTTCTACCTTTAAGGGGATTCTATTCTATTTGGGGGTCCCTTTCAGGGGATTCTATTCTATTTGGGGGTCCCTTTAAGGGGATTCTATTCTATTTGGGGGTCCCTTTCTATTTGGGGGGGGGGGGGTCCCTTTAAGGGGATTCTATTCTATTTCGGATATAAAAGGGGTATTCCTATGTTGGGAAGTACCCATGTCGGAATTTCTAGGCTGAGGGTGCCCATGTTGAGGGTTTTTGGGGTTTTGGTTTGGTTTAGTTTAGGGTTGATAGGGTTCGTTTAGGGTTTATAGGTTTATAGGGTTTCGAGGGTTCATAGGGTTCAGGGTTAGTTTAGGGTTAGTTTAGGGTATGTAGGTCTTATAGGGTTAGTTTAGGGTTAGTTTAGGGTTAGTTTAGGGTTAGTTTAGGGTTAGTTTAGGGTTAGTCGAGGGTGTGTAGGTTTTTACAGGGTTTTATAGGGTCTAGGGCTTAATTTGCAGTGGCGTCCTGGCCCTGGAATGGGTTTAGGGTTTGGGGTTTGGGGTTTAGGGTTTAGGGTGTAGGGTTTAGGGTGTAGGGTTTAGGGTTTAGGGCTAAGGGTTTAGCACCTTCCTTTTGCCATCGACCGTGGACGGTTGTCAGTGTGTTATATATCCTGGCGGGTTCTTATTGGGGAATGAGGCCCAATAGAGTCCTTGAAGGGTATATGTAGGACCCTCATTCCCTCATTCCCGACTAAGAACCTCTGTGTGTGTGTGTTTGCGCGCAGCAAGTGCTTACTCCACCCTCGCCCTGCCTTCTTCCCCTGTGTGCCCGTCAGACTTTCGTACCCTGAACCCTAAGCCATTAACCCTAGAACCCTAGAACCCTAAAACCCTAAAACCCTAAAACCCTAAAACCCTAAAACCCTAAAACCCTAAAACCCTTAAACCCTTAAACCCTTAAACCCTAAAACCCTAAAACCCTAAAACCCTAGAACCCTAGAACCCTAAAGCCCTAAAACCTTACCCTAAAACCCTAACACCAAACCCTAAACCCTAAACCCCAAACCCCAAACCCTAAAACCCTAAACCCTAAAACCCTAAAACCCTAAAACCCCTAAAACCCTAAAACCCTAAAACCCTAAAACCCTAAAACCCTAAAACCCTAAAACCCTTAAACCCTCAAACCCTCAAACCCTAAACCCTAAACCCCAAAACCCCGAACCCCAAACCCCAAATTTCTTGCCGCAGGGACCAAAGCCAGTCCTCAGCAGCCATAGGAGAAACAAAAAAGAAGAAAGGCCCCCGAATCCATGCCTCAAGCTTTCTGATTCACTCCCCACACCAGCAGAACCCCCCAAAAACCTACCTTGAACCCAAAACCCGAAACCCGAAACCCTAAACCCTAAACCCTAAACCCTATTCATGGCGCCTGAGCCCTGCAGCCGAAGACCTTCCGACATTCCTCGATCACCGCCAGTGCCATGTCTCGGCCCGCTTCGGGGGTCCGAAAGAGGCCCTCCACGGCGGGAGGCAAGGCGCAGACCTCCGACTACTTCAGGGCTTTAGGGCTATTATTTAGGCTTTTTTAGGTTTTTTTTTTTTTTTAAAGGGCTTTAGGGCTATTATTTAGGCTTTTTTAGGTTTTTTTTTAAAGGGTTTAGGCCCAGACATCCGACTACTTTAGGGCTTAGGGTTTTTTAGGGTTTAGGGTTAAGGGCTTACTTTAGGGCTTGGGGTTTTACGGTTTATTTCGGGTTTAGGGTTTTCACCCTAAACCCGAAACCCTAAATCCCTGCAAAAGGTACCCGTGCCCACTCGGATTGTACGCCGTCCAAGTTTGCATCCAAAGGTCCAGGAATAGGGTTTTTTTAAACTGTAATTAGGGTTTCTAGGACGTATTTTTACCCTGAACCTAAACCCTAAACCCTAATCCCTAAACCCTAAACCCTAAACGCTACAGTACTGGTGTGCTTCGGAGGGGCATGCGATGCCTGCGAAGTCTGTGCCTTTCAGGCAGCACACGTCCGTCCTCGGCAATGCCCGGGAACCAAATCCAGGCCGGGAGTCCACCTGGTTTAGGGTTTAGGGTTTAGGGCTTAGGGCTTTTAGGGTTTAGGGCTTTTAGGGTCTAGAGCTTTAGGGTTTAGGGCTTTTAGGGTTTAGGGTTTAGGGTTTAGGGCTTTTAGGGTTTAGGGTTTAGGGCTTTTAGGGTTTAGGGTTTGGGGTTTAGGGCTTTTAGGGTTTGAAAAGCTTTTCCTTGTCAGAGTCTTGTCAGTGTCCACTTGGGCCATCTGCAGCAAACCTATATTGCATAGAACCCCTAAACCCTGAACCCAAAACCCAAAACCCTAAACCCTAAACCCTAAACCCTTATTGCATAGAATAGGGTAAGAGTATACCATGACATCTCCTCAGAGGCATCCCCACGGCCCAGAAGCGCCAATGTCCAGGCGGGGGGATTTCGGAATAGGGTTTAGGGTTTAGGGTTTGGGGTTTAGGGTTTAGGGCTTAGGGCTGAGGGTTCAGGGTTTGGGGTTCAGGGTTTAGGGTTCAGGGTTAGGGCTTAGGGTTACGGTTTACAGCATCTTAAGTCCAAGCTTTCACTGCTCAGGCAAGCTCGTCAAGGAATGGAGAAATTAAATGCCCACAGAAAACTCTGCCAAAATGCCCTGCACACGGAAAACTTTAGCAGAATGCCCTGCCCACGGCAAATTTTTCCATGCCATAAGGAGCTAGATTTCCCTGTCCACGGAACTCCCTGTCCACAAACACTAAACCCTAAACCCTAAACAGAAAACTTTATCATGCCGACGGAAATGCTGCCATGCCCACGGAAAACTGTGCCATGCCCACAGAATTTTTTGGTTTGGGTTTGGGGTTTGGGGTTTAGGGTTTAGGGCGTTTCGGTAAAGTTTGCGGTGGGCATGGTAACGTTTTCCGTCTGCATGAGTAAGTTATCTCCCAGCATGGCAATGCCGGATAAGGAGTTAAGGGCTTAAATATTATGTAGGCATATATGTATACATATACACGTGAAGGAGAGGTTTTAGGGCGCTGTCATCGAGGCAGTTGGAGGACTTTTGGGCAAATAGACAGGGGTGCTGCTGTGCACACACCCCTGAAAAAAAAGCTAAACCCCAAACCCTAAACCCTAAACCCTAAACCCTAAACCCAAAAATCTAAACTCCAAACCCTCAACCCTAAACCCTTCAAACCCTTGGCGCCCCTGAGTTCCCAAGACCCTTCGAGGCCTTTGAACCCTTCAAACCCTTCAAACCCCTTAAGCCCTAAATCTCTAGGAAGCCCACATGGACACGCGGACCAAAAAAACTACTTAGGATCAAAAATAATAGTTTAGGATCAAAAAATATTTTTGTTCAGGATCAAGAATTAATTATTCTGTTCTTCCGAAGGAGAGAGCGAAGGGGAGGGAGGGAAGGAAGGAAGGGCGGAAGGACGGAAGGACGGAAGGACGCAAGGAAGCAAGGAAGCAGGGAAGCAGGGAAGCGGGGAAGGAAGGAAGCAGGGAAGCAGGGAAGGAAGGAAGGAAGGAAGGAAGGAAGGAAGGAAGGAAGGAAGCAAGGAAGCAAGGAAGCAAGGAAGCAAGGAAGCAAGGAAGCAGGGAAGGAAGGAAGGAAGGAAGGAAGGAAGGAAGGAAGGAAGGAAGGAAGGAAGGAAGGAATCAAGAAAGAACGAAAGAAGAAAGAAGAAAGAAAAAACAAAGAAAGACATAACAAAAGAAAGAAGGCAAGGAAGAAGTCGTGCCAGCTTGCTTCAAAGCACGCGGATCTTTTCGAAACCCATTCTGCGAGCATTGCGTTTGCAAATGGGGGGGGGGGGGCTGCGCCCGCCGCAACAACCCCCTGTTTTTTTTTAAAAGTCGTGCCAGCTTGCTTCAAAGCATATGCATCTTTTCGACGCCTCTGATGCGAGCATTGTGTTTGCAAAAGGGGGGGGGGATGCCAGGTGCTTCAGCATACCTTCGAAACCCATGATGCGAGCATTGTGTTTGCACATGGGGGGGGGGGGCAGCCCCCCCCAACCCCCCCGCTCTTTTTTAAATCGTTCTGGCTTGCTTCAGAGTATACGCATTTTTTCGAAACTTCTACTGCCAAGATGCCAGCATTGATTTGCAGCCTCTGGAAACTCAGAAATGCTGCTATTTACAGTAGTTCCAGCCTCTGAAAGCGCAGAAATGCTGCTATTTACAGTATTTGCAGCCTCTGCAAGCGCAGAACTGCTGCTATATACAGTATCTTCCGCGTCTCTGGAAACTCAGAGATGCTGCTATTTTGAGCTTGCGAGCGGCCAGAAATTCTGCATTTCTGAGCGTTTACAGCCAACGCTCCGCTTGCAACAAGCCTTCGAAGCCTTCAGTAAATTATTATTATTTTTGATCCCAAATAAGGATTTTTTGATCCGCCTATGAATACTTTATTTGTTGATCCCAAATATTTTTTGATCCCCTAACCCAATCGGGGTTTCCGAACAGAAGTGGCCCCTAATAGAGATCCCCAAAACTGTAAGAAATCCCTAAAGCAAGGACAAACCTTAAACCCTAAAAACCCTAACCCTAAACCCTAAACCCTAAGCCCTAAACCCTAGACCCTAAACCCTAAACCCTAAACCCTAAACCCTAAACCCTGAACCCTAAACCCTGAACCCTGAACCCTGTGTCAAAAGTGGGCAGCTAGCCTGACCTGTTAAATCGTGAGTGAGATGTGTGCCAGTTGTACAGCGCAAGATGCATCTGATCCTCAGCCACAGCGGCTCCTGGTGCAGCATAGCAAAAAGAGCGAGTCCGTAGACTCGAGCGATTCATGGTTGCAGATTTCACGCTCAGCATTCGCATTGGTTGAGCGGAGCAGGGCCATAGCGGCAAACCTGCGACGCGAGAAGCATGACAACTCCGCAGGCAGCGGAAGAGCAGGCTGATGGCGGCCAAGCAGAGCAATCGGGCGACGCACGCCCGTACCAGTGGGACAGGCAATGGGGCGCAGATGACTGGCGAGACAGGCGATGGTACTCCAGCTGGAACACTGCGTGGCAAGGTGCTCCGTGGAGCGGATGGACCAGTTCAGCGAGCTGGTGGTGGAATGGTGCTTGGGGCGATAGTGACTCAAGTGACCGGTGGCAAAAGCCGGATGGTACAGAGTCCAGGGGTAAGCACCAACAGGAAGAGAGAAGGACGCAAGCCGAGAGACGAGAATCGGCGTCCACAGCGCCGGCAGAGGATGAATCGGATAGGCATCCGGATCATGTCGACTCGGTAGATGACGGCTCGACAGGCGGTGAGTCCCGAGCCAATCCCAAGACTGGGAAGGATTTCGTCCCAGAGTACGATGGTAAGGGGCCGATGAGGGAGTACCAAAGACGGGTTCGTTTGTTCGAAGCCAGCACGGGGACGACCCCGCCTACAGAGCTCAAAAGCTCATGGAGCGCCTCACAGGACAAGCTTGGCTGGCTACTGAATCCTTGCCTCTCAAGGATCTCAAGCATCAAGACGGCGTGGAAAGGCTTTCCCACCTATGGCAGGAACTCGAGCCACTGGAGTTCCTTCGGGTGTTTTCTACCTTGGCTGAGTTCTACAAGAACTTCCGGCGAGAGAAAGGCCAGGAGTTCGTCGCCTACGACATGGCTTTTAGAGCTCAGCTACAACGCCTTGATGAAATCGGGGGAGGCATCGATGGCGTGACCAAGGCTTACTGGTTCCTGGAGAAGGCTGGCTTATCTGCAGAGTTACGCAAACAAGTGGTGGCTGCAGCAGGGGGAGTGTATGACTACGTGAAGCTGAGGAGTGCCTTGGTGGCGATTGTTCCTCAAGTTCATCGAGCTGAAGAAGAACGCTCGTCGGCAGCCCCACAGGTGCGTCAGTGGAAACGAGGCGGGCCAACCTCACATCCGAGACAGGTGCATGCTACCTTGGATGACGGAGAACTAGAAGAAGAAGCTCAGTTTGAAGATGCGGGTGAAGATCAGGGCAGCGAAGATGCCGACAAACTGGAAGCCGAGCTGGAGGTCTTGATGACTCAGGCCGCTAGGAAGAGAGCACAGGTGGAGAAGGCCCGGGGCTTCACGAAGAACGAGGCTCCAGAAGAGAGAGAGAAGCGCATCCGGGACATGAAGTCTCGTATGCCTTGTTCAGCATGCAAGGCCCATGGGAAGACGGTGTATGGTCACTGGCACAGTGACGATGCGTGTCCCTATAAGTCCAAAGGGAAAGCCTCTGGCAGCGGGAAGCCCGTGCTCGCAGTAGTGGAAGAGGACCTGAGTGACTCAGAAGAAGACGATTTTGGTCCAGGGGAGAGCCCCATCTTCGTCACGGTCATGGAGGAGAATTGGTGCGCCAGCGTGGGTCAGGGCAAGAACCTGTATCCGCGAGAGCATCGGCCAATTGCCCTGAGTGATACATGTTGTGCTAGGACAGTCGTGGGAGAAAAGTGGATGCAAGATCATATCAAGTACCTGCACAATCAAGGCGAAGATGTGTTCATCGTGGATGAGAAAAGACCCTTCCGTTTTGGGGGTGGGCCACGCGTGTACTCAACGTACGCTGTCATCTTTCCTCTACAAGTGTCGGGCTCTATGAAGGTGGCGTTCGTTCGAGCTAGCGTAGTTCAGCAGGAGGTTCCGTTGCTCATGAGCAAGAATGCCTTGAAGAATCTCGGTGCCACCTTGGACTTAGCAGCCGGGTCTCTTCAGTTGACTGCTCTGGACGCAAGCGTTCGCTTGGTGGAAACAGCATCAGGGCTTTGCGGATTCGAGATTAATCAGAACCCAAGTGAAAGAAATCTCGAAGTTCCTCCTAGTGAGCTGCTTGCTGATGGGTGCGAAGTCATGATATGTCCCGACCGTGATCGACAAGTGCATGCAGTCCGGCAGGACCGGAGGGAAAGGGATCGTGAATGCGAAGCGCTAGCAGAACAGTACCTGGCAGAGAAGCGGTTTCGATATCGTGATCTTCTCCACATAGTCCGAAAGTTGCCTCTCAAGGAGCGCCGAGATCATCGTGACATTGATGGACGGAAGGATGAGCCCGTCACTTCATTCCTGGGAGGCTTGTGGGTCCATGGGGGTTTCCACGGGATTGCAAAGACTGCCAAGAGGTACCCTGCTGTGATCCAGTACATAAACGCTTTCATGCAGAAGAAACACCCTGGTGGTTGGACGTCATTCGTCTTGATGAAGAACATAAGCACAAAGATCCACAAGGATGTCAACAACGAAGTCAATACTATGAGTACTACGGTATCCTTCGGAAGATTTAGGGGTGGACGTTTGTGGGTCAGCTTGAGTGACGGTGAGAAGCCACCGGGAGGCCGAGATATCGTCTACATGCAAGACGACGAAGGCAACCCGCAGCGAGGCTATGGGGTGTGCACTCAGAAGACTCCATACACCTTTGATCCAAGATGTGCTCACGCGACATGTCCGTGGGAAGGGGAGAGATGGTGTTTGACAATGTACACCTCAAGGGGCATTCAGCACGCGTCGCAGGAGCAGACAGCTGAGCTTCACCGACTGGGTTTTTCCTGGCCGGGGCTGTCTTCCAGGACTTTTGGGGTAGAATCAACCTCACACCAGGAGCCGCAGCAGTTAAGAGAAGAAGAGGTTGAGAGAGACCAATACTTTACAAACATGTGCACTCCGCAGCAACAAGAGTCTCACAGCGAGCTTGAAGCTAGCAAGAAGTCGTGTGCGTCAGATGTCAATGCTTGCTCCAAAGAAGAAGGAAGAGTATGTGAAGGCCATCGGAGCTCGATGCACGGTGAAGGAGGAGGACCTCAAGCAGCACACGGTAGAGAGATTGAAAGAGATATGGGCTGTTCTCAAGCCGACCTCTCGAAAGAAGACGCTCCTTCCGAGCGGGTGGAGACGCTTCGATCTGGAGGGCCTCAAGGAGCTGTACTCCTCTGTGGTGGTTCCGTCGCTGCAGAGGGAACACAATGGTCATTGGGGAAGGTGGAACCGAGGACATCTCATCATGCAGATGGAGATGTGGATGGACGAATGCATGGAGAATCCGGACGAGATTCCGGAGGAGACGCATCCACATCAGACACCGCTATGCAAGCGGTGCACGTTGCCGATGATCGAGAGGACAAATCGAGTGAACGGCGAGGGGTTCTTTGGATGTCTACGTTTTCCAATGTGCCGAGAGACGTTGCCACTACTCTACAATGGGCTGCCGACCGTCTACGTTCAGGAAAGCATGCTCGGGGAAGAGAAGAAGGGCAACAAGGCGGAGGCGAAGGGGCGAGCAAAGGAGAAGGGCCTGTTCAATCCGAAGGCGAGAGTCAAGGGACCCAAGGAGGTGGATCCAGCGCTGAGCTCAAACTCACAAGGGTCATGGGTGCAAGCCGGCCGCATCCCCGTCGACGAGGTGTCATCAGAGGACGAATCTCAGAAACCCGGGGCAGAGAGGAAGGTCAATGTGAACTTGACGCCGCAGGAGATCCAGATGATCGAGAAGATGCGTGCGGAGAAGGAGGAAGCGACCTCGGGGAACAAGGAGTGAGTCATGCTGCGCAGGGAGGAGTGTGTGCCGATCAGACGAGTGACACGCCCAAGGAACTTCTCTCTTCCGATGAAGTGTCTAGGAGGGTTCGTGAAGGGTTTGATAGGCGAAAGCGCCTGAAGAAAGGTGTCGGGAGAAGAATCTTGGGCAATATCCGTAGCGCTCTTGCAAGTGTTTGGATTGCCACTGCAGCTACAATCGGTGCAGCAGCATGTCAAGTTCCCACAGGATGTCAAATGCGTCCTGATGTAATGGAGATTTTTGCAGGGCAAGCACGAGTTTCCCACTCTTTTGCTAGATGGGGATGGAGTACTGCCGAACCCGTTGATATCAACCTAGGTAGTGATCTTCGACAAGCTGAGGTGAGGGAGCAAGTGCTGGAATGGGTTGACCGCCTTAAGCCGCGCCTTGTGATTCTCTCATATCCTTGCTCACTCTGGTCTGTTCTGCAGAACATGTCATGTCACACCCCTCAAGAAAGACGACGACTTCAGCAAAAACGGAAGAAGGAGATGTGCCTTCTTGAGTTCGTTGAACAAGTCTTTCAAAAGCAGATCAGCCGAGGCGATGATGCTCTCACAGAGAACCCCCTGCTTAGTGCCTCGTTCAGGACACCACCGATCCAAAGAGTTCTTACACATCCTGAGGTGTATACCGCGGTCAGTCACGGATGCAGGCTGGGTGTTGTAAACTACAAGACATACGAACCATTGCACAAGCCTACGCTCTGGATTAGTTCCTCGCAAGAAATCTGTGATGAGTTGGGCGTGAGATGCCAGAATGAGGAACACGTGCACCATCACAAGCATGGGGAGTGTCTGGGAGATAGGGAAGTGACTCGACACGCCGGGGTCTACACACACAAGATTGCTGAAGCCATATGCAAGGGGTATGTGCGTTTGATAAGAAGAAAGGACCCGGGGCGTATCCGAAAGTTGCTCCGAAGCTTGGCAGCGCGTATTCGGAAACATGTCCGACAGCGAGGAGGGAGACCAGAAGAATTACGGTGGAGTGAGAGAACCGTCATGAGAGAACTGAAGAAGTGGCACGCCGTTCATGCAGTTGGAGCTGGAAGCGCTACTGACCAACCTATGCCCGCAACTCTGGAGGACCATGGTGAGCACGCATCAGTTCCTGAGCAGAGTCAAGAGCCGATCCGCACCGGCCTTTCGAGTGACGGAATTTCTTTCGATGTGCCTGCTGGGAGGAAGCTTGATGAGTCGGTGAAACAAGGGTTACGTAAGGCGCATTGCAATTTAGGCCACCCTAGCCGAGATGATCTTGCTAGGTTTCTCAAGTTGGGGGGAGCCAAACAAGAAGTGATAGAGGCTGTTGGTTGGCTTCGATGCATTGCTTGCGCGCACTCAAACAAGCCCAAAGCACATCGGAATGCAAGCATACCTCCAAGTCAAGTCGTTTTCGGTGATGAAATCCAAGTTGATTGTATATGCGTTCACGATGCCTCCAAACAATCCCACTGGTTTCTTTCGGTGATAGACCGAGCTACGTCGTTCCATATGCTTGAAATCATGCGGGATCACTCTCCTGAAGAACTTTATCGCGCGCTTGACCGGGCCTGGTGCAAATGGGCAGGACCGCCCACACAAGTCACGGTGGACATGGAGGGGGGTTTTCAAGGCCGGGAGTTTTGGCAACGGGTGAGCGATGGGGGGACGGTTTTGTTGTCGATCGCTGGGACTGCTCACTGGCAGGCAGGGAAAATCGAGAGACACAACCAAATCGTGAAAGACATGCTCATGGCCACTATTCGTCAAACTCAAACTAAAGGTAGGGAGGCGATGCGTAAGCTTTCTCGCGAAGTTGCCCATGCGAAAAATTGCTTGGTCAGGGAACACGGATGGTCGCCGGTAGCCTTGGTGTTCGGACGAGAGCCACGCGTGTTTGGCGAAATGTATGAGCAGGGGGGCCCCAAAGCGTATCATCCTGAAGTAGGAAACCCATCAAGTGATGTTGCGGAAAGGATGAGATATCGATATCATGCTAGGCTTGAGTTTATCAGGGCTCAGGCAAGGCAGATGTTGATGCAGACCGCCCATCAACGTACTAGAAGAATCACCAACCCTAGCATCGGACAACTTGTGTTTTTCTGGCGGGCTGAACGCAGTAACAAACGTGATAGCCAAAGCAGATGGGTGGGGCCAGGGTATATTGTTGGGCTTCAGGGAAACAACGCCTGGGTTTCCTGTGGCGGGAGGTGTTTCTTGGTGGCGGGGGAACACTTGCGGGAAGCAATAGGCGACGAAAAGCAATATGGTGATCCCGAAGTTCAAAAGGCTCTGGCTCTGTTCAAGAAAGTCCCGAAAGAAGCCACGTATGAAGACCTCCTAGGACAGGCTGACCCAGAACCAATGGGTGATCTTGAGGACCAGCCCATCGGTCGAGATCTCACCGAAGATGTCGAAATGGACATCAGCGATCAAGCTGGATTGCCTGAAGAGTATAGGAGCATGGTTGGATATGTGGGATGGTATCATGACCGGTTTATGAATCCTGTTCTGGTGTCACACAAAACATGGGCTTTGCGAACTCCTGAACAAAAGTACAGTCCCGAGAGCTTTCCGTACAGGTCCACGTGGGTGCGTATTGGCGGAGAGTGGAAACGCATTGAGCATGAGGTTAAGTGGAGTGAGTTGGAAGATCCCAACGCGATAATATCAGGTGGTCCAGCAAGCTTGATGGTGACTGTTTTTCAGAGTCGCACCCGACGTGAAAGATGTTTGGAGGACGTCCCCGTCGCCTTGAAGAAGCCTCGAATCGAGTCGTCAGGGAGTCAGGTTCATGCCGTCATGACTAAAGGGGCTCTTGGCAAAAACAAGTTGAAACGCATGCTCGAGAAAGAAGTGCCCTACGAAAAGATCCCTGAACATGAAAAGGAATTGTATAGAGCTGCTGAAGAGAAAGAGTGGAAGAGTTGGTGTGATTTCAACAGCTGTGAGATACTCAGCCCAGAAGAGAGCGCGAGGGTCGAGAGAGAAAAGGGGGACAGAATCCTTCCGAGTCGCTACGTCTATAGGAACAAGCATGCGGGGTTGCTCGATGATCAAGGACGTCCATTGCCTGTGAAGGCGAAGGCGAGGCTGTGCCTGCAAGGGCATCTCTGTCCAGATAGCCGGAGTGGAGAGATTCAAGTAGATAGTCCTACTATTGAAAGGGTGTCAACGATGATCTTTCTCCATCAGGTCATAAGTCAAGGTTGGATGAGTGACTGGTTTATCGGTGATATTTCTAACGCTTTCCTTCAAGGGGCTCCACTTCAAGGGAAGGAAATGTTCATGCGACAGCCTCGGCAAGGGCTGAAGGGCATGCTTCCAGGACAGCTGTTGAAGCTTCTCAAGCCTGTTTATGGACGGCCGGATGCTCCACGGGCATGGTATAACGAACTGGCTAGGGTCCTGGAAGAAGAACTTCATCTCCAGAAATGTGTCACCGATCAGTGTTTGTTTACCTTGCGTGATGACCAGAATCGTGTCCGGGGATTATTAGTCATTCATGTGGATGACTTGATGCTATGCCACGATGGTAGCCAACTAGGGAAGGACACCGTGCAGAAGTTGAAGGCTCGGTTCCCGTTCGGCACTTGGGATAGAGTTATGGATCAGAAGAACGGAGTGACCTATTGTGGCAAAGAAATTAGAATCCTCAACGACGAGAAGGGTGAACAGGTCATTGCGCTCAGTCAAAACGGATTCATCGATGGAAGAGTCCAGAAGCTGGAGATCAGCAGAGAGAGGAGGGCTGAGAGCGAGCAGAGGGCCACCGAGGAAGAGAGAAGTGAATATAGGTCGGTCGTAGGGAGCTTGCAATGGCTTATCACTCAAACGAGACCCGATCTTGCTTTCGAAGTGAACCAACTCCAGAAAAGAATAGCCGACCTCAGGGTTCATGATCTGGTGCGCGCGAATCGTGCAGTCCAAGAGGCTACACAGCACAGGTTGGAGATCATTTTCAGAAATCTGGGGCCAGATGCTGAGCTAGTCGTGTACCATGACGCAGGACTTTACAGCAGCGTGGGGGTAGAGCTGGATGAGAGAGAAGCCGATGATGTTCTCCAAACTGGCATGGAGAAGAAATTGATCTATTCCCAGAAGGGCGCGGTTGTGGGGTTTGTGCAAAAGGGGGCTACTCAAAAGAAGAATGAGAGGGTCCATTTGAACATGATAGACTGGAAATCGGCCACTAACAGGAGGGTTGTAGAGTCATCGTTCGCAGCCGAGACCCACGCCGCTCTCATGGGCCATGGCATGGCTAGATTTGCACAGGTTCTGGTGTCTGAGGTGCGGCATGGAAAGGAGATCGTCAGCGCTCTAGGCGATGAGGATTGGCAAGGAGTAGTATCTACGACACTGTGCATAAAGACGGTCAACATATAGGAGAGAAGGGGAACGTAGTGCATGCCGTGCTGCTACGACAATTGTTGGCCACGCGAGCAAGTGAGTCAAAGGCTCAACTGATGTGGGTGCCTACACGGTGCCAACTAGCCGATGGGCTAACGAAAGCTCGCCGAGGGTCAGATTTGCGAGACCAGCTCAAGAATGGGCTTCTGTTTCACGAAAGTTCCGCACGTCAGTTACGAGGCAACAGGTCAGAAGAGAGGGTTAGGTCAGTGTCAAAAGTGGGCAGCTAGCCTGACCTGTTAAATCGTGAGTGAGATGTGTGCCAGTTGTACAGCGCAAGATGCATCTGATCCTCAGCCACAGCGGCTCCTGGTGCAGCGTAGCAAAAAGAGCGAGTCCGTAGACTCGAGCGATTCATGGTTGCAGATTTCACGCTCAGCATTCGCACCCTGAACCCTAAGCCCTAAACCCAACAAGCCTGGACGCAGCCTCCTCCCTCCCAACCCCTCCCGCCCCCACCACGGCTGGAGGCCTTTTGCCGTGGGAAGATTGCGGCCCAAGCCGAGGTCGCCCCTGAAGGGTTCAAGGTTTCGGGTTAGGGTTGAGGGTTGAGGGTTGAGGGGTTAGGGGTGTGGGGGTGTAGGGGTTTAGGGGTTTAGGGGTTAGGGTTTAGGGTTTAGGGTTTAGGCTCTCTCTCTCTCTCTCTCTTGGCCGGACCTGCTACATAACAACACATGGCTCAGGATCCTAGCTTTGAGAAAGCGGGTGCTGCCCCTTCCTTGGACCATCCATCCCCTCAGTTGAGCCCCTTGACCTCAAATCCTTAGGGTGTTGTCGTCTAGCATTTCGTCCCTTCCTAGTCCCTTACAGTAGTCCCTGTAGTATACTAGTTCTTCTGGTATTCCATGTAGTCTCCAGTAACCCGTTCTTTCATTCCGCGCAAAGCACCATGGCTCTGGCCCTGCATTTTGGGAAGGGAAACTCGAAGGCCTCAGATGAAAATCCACCTCCCGAAGAGGAGGTACCCAGGGAAAGGTGTGACACCTTGCAGGCGGAGCACCGCGAAATAGTGGTTGGCCAGTTGGGGATGGATGGATGCCCTGGGGGTGCTGAGGAAATTCAAATTGAAACCGACAGAGAGTCAGAGGAAGATAGCCTGGACGAAGATGCTGGCCAAGACAGAGTTCCTGCTGCTGCGACTGAATTTCTAGCCAACATGCAGGCCACATGCCCCGAGATGATCCGGGCAATCCATGTTTGGCAGGTACTCAGGAGGCTAGCATTGCCGCTGCGAGCAGCAGATGGTGATTTCTACCCTTTGAGCCACGCGACCACCCGCCCGTATACATTCTGGTCCCATAGCTGGCATGGTGCCTTGGTAGCCCAGTGGTACCCTTTACCCTGCTTTTTGGTTATGGGTTCTCTTATAAAGTAACCTAAACCCTAAATCCTAAACCCTAAACCCTAAACCCTAAACCCTAAACCCTAAACCCTAAACCCTAAACCCTAAACCCTAAACCCTAAACCCACAAAAAGGGTGCCCTTGTCATAATATGGTTTCTGGGCTACCAAGGTTCTGTTCAGAGGAAGATTGCCACGGCCTACGTCCTTCATGTGGCCACGCCCGCAGCCATTCTCGGCACGGGAGCCGCAGTTCTTGCCTGCCTGCTCTTCGGGTTCCTCTATCCCCCTTGGGAAGTTTTTTAACAAAAACTGTTCATATAAAACCCAAGAGGATATTTAAAGAAAGAACCCTAAACGCTAAACCCTAAACCCCAAACCCCAAACCCTATTTTTATTAATCCCTTCCCCCTAATATTAAAGGCCCCCCCTCCCCCCGCCCCCTCCCCCCCCCCCCTCCCTTGTATAAAACCCCCCAAAGGGATTTTGGTATTAGGGGGGGGTTCTTATCGTTTGTCCGAAAAACCAGCCCGTCCTTATTGTAGCTGGCTCAGCAGCCGCCTAAGCCGAGACAGCTACGTGCTGCGAAATGATTGAGAGGGAAGGGAGGGCTGGGAGGAGAGCTTCAGGATGTTGGTTGGTTTGAGGGTTTACGGAAAACCTTAAGCCACAAAGGTTTAGGTTTGGGAAAGGTTCATATTTCTGCTTCAGGCTTCCGAAACCACCCCCCCCCCCCCAAACCCCCCCCTCTCCTCTGTAGAGGCTTTAATAGGGACAGGCACGGGATCGGGATTTTGGGCCAGGGGGTTTTCTATATTAGGGTGGTATTAATATTGGGGGGAAGGGATTAAGGTTCTAAGGGGGAGTGGAGGTTCGGCGCGCTCCCGGACGATGGCCACGGCCAGAGTTACTGGTGCTTGAGCCTCGGATGCCTCACCTACTTGTTCCTTGGAGGCGAACTATGGACCCCTAGAAGGGTTTAGGGTTCAATGACCTTAATAGGAGTTATAGGAATAGAGGGTGAATGACCCCAATTTTAGGGTTCATCGCGCCCCCAAGGATGACCATGGTCCTATGGAGGCCACGGCAGCGGATCTTTCTTGATCGAGCTTGCATCTCCCAAGAGGACCCAAGCCTTCAACTGCAGGGGCTGCTGAGTTTGGGGGCAATCCTGAAGCAGGCAGATAGCATGATGGTGCTGTGGGACTCGTCCTGGTCACGCCGGACAGCAGAACCCGTCCACGCCGGTCCGGCGGGACACCACGACCCTGGTGGTGTGGCGAAGCTTCTGCAATTCTTTGTGCTCCTCTTTGGCACCATCCGGATGGACGACCACGACCCGTACACAGGACAGAGAGTTGGCGAGGCTTCTCATCCAGGACCTTCTGGAGGAGGCAGCCGTGCAACAGATAGACGTCGGGAAGAGTCCACCTTTGATGTGGGCCGTGTGTTGGCACTTTTACAGGAACTGGTGACTCTGCTGGGAGGGAATACTGATGCTCTCTCTCAGCTCACGGGGTTGCTTTCTGGTTTGCAAGTTGGAGTTCGGGATGATGTTAGGGACGCACCCGCTCCTCAGCCGGCCAGGCGTGTCACTGTTGACGATCCCTGGCAGCGGTAAAGGCAAAGGTGAGGTCCGGACAAAACCCGTTGCTTCCCCTAATGCCCCTAACGCCTTACACCCGCCGAAGTCCACCGAGGGCGTCCCTTCGGGCCCCCCTAATGACCCTAAACCCAAGGAACCCAAGCTTCGCAAGCAGGATTGGTCCTCCGATGTGCTCAGCCCAGCTCAGGTTTATGCCAAAATCGGCGCAGGCTCTGCCAACTTCAAGGCGGTAGTGCCGATTTTCTCGAGTGAGCAGCTTGAGGAACTTGCCACGCTCTCTACTGCGCATGCTGACCTTGCTCTCACCGCAGTTTCCTTCAATATGTTTGCTTGGACCAAGTGTGCCGCTGAGTCGGCTGATCCTTCAACAGCCGTTGTGCAATGCTTCTTGGGCACGGCCACTGTCTCTCGCGAGGTTCGCCTGCATAGGTTGGGTAAGGACTGCCCCTCCATCAACCAAGTTGTCCGAAAGGCCACAGGTGTACAAAAGCCCACCGACACCGTCGTGCTTCGTTTCGTTGCTGATGCCCGCTATCTCACTGATGGTCAGTGGGACAGCCTGAAAGCCAAGCCTGCGGCCTCGATTAGGTCGTGGGCGGCAGCTCATGCTCCGGCTGATGTCTTGTCGATTAAAGACATGTGGGGCTTCAAAGTGTCAGGGGGCGCTAGTGCTTCCAAAGCGGTCTTGTCGGGACTTGTTCGGGTGCAAGCGCGCAAGGCCGATGCATGGCTCACCTTGAGTGGGCGGGACAAGTGGTTTGTTGAGAACCCTGCTGCCAGGGCACCCATAAGTTGGGTCAAGCGCCAAAAGGATGAGCCTGCCAAGGATTATCTTGATCGTGTCTTCGCGCAGTGCAAGGGCCGTGGGGTCGCCAAGGGCGACACAGGCCTAGGTGTTCGCCTCTCTGCGGAAGAAGCCAGCACTCAGCCTCGCTCGGTCCCACTCCGGGCGTTCAAGATCTGGCCGGTGCCCCTTGATTGGACTCAGGAAACTCTTGAGCATGAGTTGACGCAGTTTAAGTTCAATGATCTTACGCTGTTGGCCAGGTATCCTTGTAAGGGTGGGGTTAAGTTCTTCTACAGGGCTAGGGTTGAGAACCTTGACTTGGCAGTGATTGAGCACGACAAGGGTGCTATCCAGGTTGTGCTGCAGAACCAGACCTTGCGTCGCGGTGCCCCCACGCCCATCCGGGCTGGCCGTGGTGCCTTCACAGCTTCTGCTGCCTCTGCTGACAGGCCTATGCCGGCCGCGCCCGCCCCAGCGGCCGAAGTTCCTGTTGCTAGCGCGCCGGCGGAAGGCCGCCCGCCAATCCAGGATGCTCCGGCCAAGCGACAAGCGGTCGCGGCGCCTGCCGCTGCTGTTCATGAGTTGCCGTCCGGCCTCACGCGCAAGCCCAACCCGGGCCAAGGAGACTGCCTCTTTTATGCCCTCGAGGTTGCCACTGGGCAAAACAAGTTGGCCCTTCGCACTGCCATAGTCGCACACCTGCGCCGGCACTCCGACCATTACAAGCGCTTTTGGAGCTGCCTTGCCCCCACGAGGGCAGATGAACCCATGACGGATTGGGACACGTATCTTGAAGCACTCGCGAAGCCCGGTGCATACACGTCTCTACTTGAGATCCACGCTGCCGCCAAGCACCTCGACATGCCAATTTACATTTACTCCGACGTTCAGCCTTTGCAGGTTTGCAACCGTGAGGGTAAGCGAGGTCCGATTATCCTCTGGTACTCTGCTGCGCACTATGAACTTGTGGAAGGTGAGCTGCCTGCCAAAGCCGCGACCAGTGCCATCAATGCCCCCAAGTCTGGATGCAAAGGTGGTGCTCAGCCTTCTGACCGTCCAGCCAGTGTCGGTTCGGAAGTCAGTGGACACACGCGCCTTTCTGCTTTCACAGCTGAGGATTTGATGCCGAAAAGCCCAAATTCCCCCAAACACAGACCCCCCTTTTCGGCTCCAAAAAGGGGGTCTGAGATGGCCAATTCTGAGGCCTCCTGTAGGGAGGGTTGCGAAGGCCTTTCCGTTGCCAGTGGACACACGCGCCTATCTGCATTCACCGCTCAGCCTGCCTCCCAAGGTGCTGCCTCTCGCTCCACAAAGCGCAGAGGCCCCGAGACCACCCTTCCCGGCCAGCTCTCTTTGGCCGCTGCGTTTGCCAACAGCTGCGTGCCAAGCAAGGTTCCTGCTGCGCTGTCTGAGGTGACCGGTCACCTTCGGCCCCAGCATGACCTGCATACTGATGTTGCAAACCTCCGGGACCTTGATGACTGTGTGGAGCCTGAGGCTGAGGCTCCAGCGCCAGTTGGGTGCAAGCGTAAGCGGATCCAGTGGGTCAAGCGTGAAGGTTGGGAGTGCCCCATTTGCAAGTGGTCCGTGCACGCTCGGCATTGGCGCGCCATGAAGCAAACGCACATAAATAGGTGGCATCCGCACCTTCGCAAGTGGCTCCGCTTGCCACGTGTACTGGTTAACCCACGCGTCTTTGGGCTCCGGCATGCTACCTTTGTTCAGGATGCCCGGCGCCGTGCTGCCAATGTCAAAAAGAGTGCCGCCATTAGCAAGCACCTTCACAAGGCTAAGACTTACCAAGGACCCCACGTGCCACAGGTCATTCGCATTCCGATGCCGCCCCAGGGCACACACACACGCACAGGCCAGGTCATTAAATCCCGCCTTGTCGCGCCGCCGACAGTTGTTTGCTCCAAGTGCACGCGGAAGGAAAGCACACTTGACCGCCTCGCCCAGCTCCCCTGCTCCTCCACTGGGGTTGGTGGCCCCAAGCGTGCCCAGCTTCTGCATCGCCTACTATCCATTGTCGAGGACTGTGATGCCGCGGTGGAGCTTCGTGAGCAGGCCGCCACCGCCTTTCGCTTGCTGTCCCCTCCCAGCCCTGAGCCCACCTCCTCGGCCAACAAGCCCCATGTGCTGCTGCGCCTGAACTGGCCACTCCCAGGTGTGCCTGTCGGCCAGGGCAAGGGCCCCTGTGCCTTTTGTACTGTCTGTCTCGCCTCGGCTACGCGCCTTGCCCGCCTGCGCCAAACCACTTGCCCAGGACGGGCCACGTGGAGCGCAATGCGACAGGTCACCATTCGCACGCTCCAGGAACACCTGCCGCACCCCAAAGTCAAGGTCGACACCCGCATCAGGCGCATGCTTGCCCGGCTTGCTCCCGCTGAGGGTGGACAGCCATGACGTCGCCTCCCTCACGACTGCGCATCGGGACGCTCAATGTCCAAAGCCTTAGCTCTAAGTTAGGGGCCGTTCTTTCACTTATGCGTATGCATCAGCTGCATGCTCTGTGTTTGCAGGAGACTTGCCTCTCTTCGGATGCCTTGCCAGCGGTACACCAAGCCGCGGACAGGGCAGGTTGCACTTTCTTTAAAGGGGCTCAAACTTGCAACTTGGCTGGTGCTCCTTACGCCGGGGTTTCTTTTGTGACTCGGTGGCCGGCTCAGCCTGTACAGATGCCTGACTGGCCCACTTCCGCGGGTCGTGTTGCGGCCCTACGTGTCTTTCGCCCTCGGGCTAGACCCCTCCTTTTGATAGGGGTCTATTTGCATGCCAGTGATGCGTTTGCTGCAGCCTCTCTGTTGGACTTAGTGCTGCCCTGGGCCGCTTCATTAGGTGAAGACTTTTGTGTGACGGGCGATTTCAACTTGCCCAAGTCCCATTGGCCCACCTCTTACGCGCTCGCTGCGGGTCACCTTTTTGACGCTGACGAGGTGGTCGGTGATCCTGCTCAGTTACCTGGCACCCGCCGCAATGCTGCTGGTCAACTCACAGGTTCTGTGATTGACTACTTGTTGCACTCCCCGGCCCTCACGGTTTGCGCACGTGCTCAGTTCCAAGCCGTGGCCGACCATGATCTGGTGTTCTACTCGCTGCCTGTGTTGGGTCAGCCGGCCCGTTGGTCATGGCCGCCCCGGCCTCGCCTAGGCCCTAGCCCTCCGGTGGAGGGCGCTTGGGAACGCTGTTGGTCCAAACATGATGTTGCCTTCCGTGCTGCTCTGGCCACTGCAGACCTGGATGCGGCTTGGGCCCTGGTGTCCACCTGCTTGGCCGAAACTGTTTGCTCCAAACCGCCTGCGCGTCCCCCCGAAGAGGCTTGTGGCTCTCGGGTGGCCCCTTGTCAGCCTCACCGCACTGCTCCTACTTACCAAGGCTTTCTCGAGCGCCGGCTTCGTCGCCTTAGTCGGCGGGCCGCTGAGTTCGCAAAGGATTGTGGCAATCAGCCGTTGTTCAATGCCATTCAGCGTGATGTTTCCCACCTGTCTGTGGATTTCCCATCGCTGCTGACTCAGCCTTGGGGTTTGGACCAAGCTGCTCAGCATGCCATTGCCCTTGCCGACCAGCAAGCCGACAAGGACCGCAGCGCTCGGTTGCAACATTGGCAGGCGACTGCCGGCGAGGACTTCACTAGGCTCTGCCAGTGGATTCGTGCCACCGTTCCTACCAATCCTCCTCACCATCCTGGCGCTGACGATTGGGTTTCACCTTTGCATCCGCAGGAGCAGGTTGAGCAGGCTGCTGAAACCCTGCGTGCCCTCTGGGCCCCCGCTGTCCTCCCTCAGCCTGAAGGTTTCGACCAGATGCGTGCGCTTATTGGGTCCACCACGGAGTTCCCTTTGCCGTCCATCTCGGGAAAAGCGATCTTCGCCCGTTTCAAGGCCACTGCCAAAAAGTCCACTGGACTTGATGGTTGGGGGTCTGCGGCCTTCGTTGCTGCGGGGCCTGCTGCCTCGGAAGTTCTGGCTCAGCTTTGGGCCGCTTGTTTGGAGTTCAGCACCATGCCTGGCATTTGGAAGCACATCCGCGTGGCTCTACTCCCCAAACCTGATGGGACCCTGCGTCCCATTTCGATTGCTTCGGCTGCTTACCGCACTTGCATGACCTGTTTGCTTCGTGCTTGCCGTGAGTGGTTCCTCAGCTGGGCTGACCCCGAGCTTGTCGGCGGCATTCCTGGCCGTGACATGAGCCGCACTCATGATGCGCTGTTTTCCTCCCTGTTGGAGGCCCGCAACCGTCACCTTGCTTTCGTTGGGGCCAAGCAGGACGTGCGCAAATGCTTCGACACGGTTCAGTGGGACCTCGCGCTCCAGGCTTGGACCTGGTTGGGGGCTCCGCCCAAGCTCGTGTCTTTGCTGCGTTGCTTTTACAGCAACCAAATGCGGTGGCTTGCTGTTCGTGGGCACTTCGCCAAAGAGAGCGTTGTTCCCACCCGCAGCATTTTGCAGGGTTGCCCTGCCAGTGTTGGGCTCCTCAACGGCCTCATGTTGTTGTGGGTTCGGCACTTGCGGGCGACTGCCCCGAATGTCTCACGGTCTGTTTATTTGGACGACCGGGCTATGTGGGCCATGGGGCGACATGCAGCTGATGATCTTTGTACAGCGTTGCGGGCCGCCGCTGTGGCTGACAAAGCAATTTGTCTTGAGGTGCATCCTCAGAAGCTCGCCTGCTGGGCTACGCGTGCACAGGCCAGACGCGTCCTCAGTGTCGATCCTGTTTTGTGTGGCCCTCTTGTCACCTCGTTCAAGCTGCTGGGCATTACCTACCGTTTGGCAACGGGCACAGGGGTCGTTGCTGCTGACCGCCTTGACACTGTCATCTCTAACCGCTGTCGCCGCATTGCCATTGCGGCAAGGGTGCTGCCCATGCGTCGGCACCTTTTGCTCGCACTTGTCCTCAGCCTCATTTCTTGGCTTGGCCCTTGGACATCCGTTCCTCACCTTACTGCTCAGGGTTGGGCACGGTCCATTGAAGCCGCTGTCAGTCGCATTGTGTCGGCGCGTTCTCCACTCTTGCTTTGGTCTACCTGGGCTCGGCCCCGTCTGCACCCCAAGTTTGCTCTCGCCTTTGCGGCAATCAGCCACGAGCTGCGCCGTGTCGGCAGCTTCTTGCCGCCTCCTGCCCACGTTACGGCGTGCCCTGCTCTTCAGGCGTCCCTCGCGATCTTCGCTTGGTCCATCCTTCCGGATGGCACTTGGTGTACTCCGTTTGGCCAGTTTTCACCTGGGTTTCTGACGCGCGCGGTTGCCCTTAAGGTTGCCGAAGACTCGTGGCTCCGTTTGTTGTGGGCCGCTGATGCCAAGTCTACTGGGCCCCTTGAGGCCGATGAGCACATCGCGCTTGCCTTTCACCTTGCTGCTGCCAGCTCCCACCCTTCTGGGTCCCGGCGTCGGGTGTTGTTTGCTGCCGCCCACGACACTCGCACTTTGCAGCGCATGCATTTGCCGTTTCACTCCTGTTCCTGCGGGGAGGCGCTTCCCACCAGGACCCACGTCACTTTTGAGTGCCCGGACGACCCTTTCCCCGGCGTTCAGCGCTCTGAGTCTGAGCGCCGTTTCCTGGTGCCGTTGTTGACTGGCCTTCCTTGCCCGACTTGGCAGTTGCCAGAGGTCTCGCAAGACCTGCTGCTGGCACTCTCACAGGCCAGAATTGTGGAAGAGGCTTTTCTTGTTGCCACTGATGGGAGCTCCTTGCAGGCTCCCGCGGCCAAGGACCTCACATGGTTTCAACATGCTGGTTGGGGTATAGCCACCTCTAGGGACTTAGGGTTCTTTGGGGTTGTACCTGGGCTGGACCGCTCGTCCGCCGCTGCTGAGCGCTATGCTTTGCTGGTCTTAGCTTGCGCAGCTCATATGCTTCAAGTGCCTGTCTGTGTCCTCACGGACAATTCTGCCTTGGTTACCAGCTTTGTTGCTGACAAGCCCCCGGGTGATCTCGGGGCATACTGGGCGATGATCCGCCATCTGCTGCCTGTGGGCTCGTCTTTGCACTGGGTTCCGGCTCACGGCCGCCGTAGCACATGGACATCCGGAATTCCCTTGGTCTCCACCCAGGAGGCCCGTGACTTGAATGCACGTGCAGACCTATCTGCATGTTCTGCAACTGAGCCGATGAAGGCCACCTTTTCTGCTGCCCAGCTTGCATGCAAGACCGCCTTTGACTGGGCCAGCCTTTCCGTGGAGCGACAAGAGCGCTTGACGCAAGACTGGCATGACTCTGTTGCGGCGCGGGCCAAGGCCATCGGCCGGCTACGCGATATGTGAACGCCTTGACCGGCTGTTATCCCACCTTCGGGGCAGGGTGCAGTCACGCCATACACATACACATACACACTCGTCCTGGTCACGGCGCCTGTGGTGTGTGTTTGAACTCGCCGCCTTTATTTCCAGCAGGCCTTCAGGCGAGAAGCCTCGCATCGTGATCAGGCCCACTGTGTTCGGATTGTTGTTGCTTGCCTCTTGGATAGCGCTTTTGTTTGGTGGACTGGCTGTACGGATTGTGCTGAACAGTGGTTATGTTGCCGGCGACTTTACTCATCTTCACTTGCTGCTAATTTCCCTTTCCTTCTGTAGCGTGATCTTCTTGTACATCGCGCACCTGGCCCGTGAGTACTGCCGTGACTTGACAACACTCTGCCAGCACGTGGCACACTTCAGGGTGGAGGACGCTGAGTGCCACTGCTGCTCCGTCAATCATCGGACACCCGGTAGTGACGTGCCTATCATCTGTGACCGCACCATCCTTCTGGAATGCATTAAGACGTGGTTTGGTAGCATTGAGGCCTTTGAGGAGCATGTCCAAACTTCAGTGTACGATGTGATGGTTGAGCAGCTTTCGCACCAGATGATCTCCTACTGGCGCCTGGCGTCGGCTTCCCCACTTTTCTTCTGGACCTATCTTGACAACTCGGCCTTCGAGCTCTTCGCGCTTCTACAGCATGGCATGGTTGAATATTACAGGCTCCACTGCCTGTCCTTCGTGGTTGGCCTGACTCTCTGGCTGGCTCTGGCCCCACTTCTCTTTCGAGTGCAGCTGCGCCTGGCCTGGACGCTGCAAGAAAGGAGTGCGTGCCGAGCCTGGGACCTCTCCAGAACACTGCTGCTTCTGGTAGCTGGCTGCAGCATCTTCATCTCCTTCCTGTCGTTCGACTACTGGCTCTATTCGTCCATTGGCCCTCATCTGCAAGTAGTCTCTTTCACCCTTGTGACAAGTGCTCTCGCAATTCTCGCGTGGCGCTGCCTACCAGTGCCTTTGCCCCGCCGCACCAAAAAAAGACTCACCGAGCTGACTTCTCGGTAAGATTGATGCTTCTGTAGGATGCCAAGAACCTGCCCAGCTTCAATGTGTGCGGGAGAGGATGCCTGTGCTTGAAAGGTGCTTGTTTCAGTAAAGCGATCATGCTTTGGGATCTCCTTCGGCAGCTTAGGGCCGTCAGGTGTTGTAGGGCTGGAAGGGTTGAGGGTGCTGGTTTGGAGGTGGAGAGACGAGATAGAAGCAACGCATCGCAGACCTTAAAGGCCAAACCCCAAACCCCAAACCCCAAACCCCAAACCCCAAACCCCAAACCCCAAACCCTAAACCCTAAACCCCAAACCCTAAACCCCAAACCCTAAACCCTAAACCCTAAACCCTTAAAGGCCCATGACTCCAGACCACAGCTGCAGACCCGGACAAAAAAGCAACTCATTGCTCCATATGACTCTTGAGCAGAGCCTCAGGAACAAGCTTGAAGGGTAGGGGTTTAAGGAGGTCCGCAGAAACCCTAAACCCTAAACCCTAAACCCTAAACCCTAAACCCTAAACCCTAAACCCTAAACCCTAAACCCTAAACCCTGAACCCTAAACCCTTAGGGGACGCTCAAATGCATGATTCCATGGAAGCGGTGGGAGTGGTGGTCTAGGGAGGTCCAGAAAAACCCTGAAACTCACGCTACTGTCTCCCCTTGCTTGGTGGGAGGGTCTAGCGGACACCTTCCGCAAGCAAAGGCTCGGGTTTAGGGTTTAGGGTCCAGGGCCCAGGGTTATAGGGAGACTGCTTGGCGACCAAGCAGGGCGACCCCTTCAGGGGTGTGCCTGCAGGCTCGATCACCCTAGGTCTCGCTGAGCGCTCGACTGCCCCCACGCAGGCTTGGGTCCAGGGTGCTCAGCCACCCCCCATGCTCACCCGAAGGGTTCGAATTCTTTTTGAACAAGGGTTGCTATAAACACCTCAGTTGCAAGAACCTCTCCAACACGGGCACTCCCTCCCTAAACCCTAAACCCTAAACCCTAAACCCCAAACCCTAAACCCATTTCCCCCCCCTCCCCCCCTTTTCCCCTTGCGTTGCTCAACGCCTGAGGCGGTGGAGCTGTGCAGGGAGGGCCTGATGGCTGTGGCTTGGATTCGGAGAATTCAGGGTTTAGGGTTTCGGGTCTAGGGTTTAGGCTTTAGGGTTTAGAGTTTCCCTTCTAGGGTTTAGGGTTCGGGCCAGACTCCAGAAATGACCCGGCCATGTCAATGAGATCCCATGAGCGTGGCGATGAATGGAAGCGCTTCAGCAAGGAGACTTCAGGGTTTAGGGTTTAGGTTTTAGGGCGGGTGCAACGCGCAAGGTCACCAGCAGGATCGAACCTTATGTTAGGGGGGATTATCGTACAACGGGGTCTTATTTCAGGTTGCCTAAACCCTAAACCCTAAACCCTAAAGCCTAAACCCTAAACCCCAAACCCCAAATCCTAAACCCTAAACCCTAAACCGCCATGTGTTTTTTTTTGTTGGCCCTCCGAGGTCAGCGCGCACCTGACCGCCTGCTTTCACGAGGAGCTCACCAGCCTCAGCACGGCGCTTGAGCTGAAGGCTGCGGAATCTGGGGAGCTTAGGCGGGTTAGGGTTTAGGGTTTAGGGTTTAGGGTTTAGGGCTTAGGGCATAGGGCTTAGGGCTTAGGGCTTAGGGTTTAGGGTTTAGGGATTTCTCCAAACTCGGGTCCTTTTCGGCCCCTTTTCGGGGTCCGTACCATCTGTAGTCTGTAGGACAAAAAAGGGAAAGGGGAACCTAATTTAGAGAACCACCCCTATGAGGGGCTTGGGCCGGGGGGTTAGGGGGGGTCTGAGGAGGCATCTTAGCCTTTAAAAGGGCTCTCCGTGGGCCAGCTTCCTAAAACCCTAAACCCTAAACCCTACACCCTAAACCCTTAACCCGAAACCCTAAACCCTAAACCCTAAACCCCAAACCCTAAACCCTAAACCCTAAACCCTAAACCCAGCACACGATCAGAATGTGCGGATGTTGAAAGCGCGTCCCCTGGCAGGTCACTGAGGCCTTGTCAGAGCACCAGAGGCCTCCGTGTGAGATCGGGTCAGTGTGTGAAGGGTGCGAATATATGTATATACATTACATGTATAAAAATAATATAGATACAGATATAGATGTAGATGTAGATGTATATAGATATGTTTATGACTATGCACAATCCAGATGTCTTCATTATTAGTATTATTACTATTATTATTATTATTATTACTACTATTATTATGATTATGATTATTATTCGTTATGATCACATATATATATATATATGCTGATAGATAGATAGATAGATAGTTAGTTAGATAAAGCTGTATTTACGATGTGTGTGTGTGTGTGTGTGTGTGTGTTGTGTTTGTTTCTTGAAAGCCGATTCTGGTTCCGGAAACCCTAACTACCACACCCTAAACCCCAAACCAAAAACCTTAAACCCTAAATCAAACCCTAAACCCCTGAACCCTTAAACCTTAACCCCTAAGCCCTAAACCCTGAAAAGCCGAAACCCCTAGACCCTGAAACCCTAAATTCTAAACCCTAAACCTAAAACCCTAAATCCTCAACCGCGAGCCCTAAAACCCTAAACCCTCAGCCCTAAACCCTAAACCCTAAAACCCTAAAGCCCTAAAGCTTAGGGCTTAGGGCTTAGGCTTTAGGATTTAGGGTTTAGGGTCTAGGGCTTGGGGTTTAGGGCACGAAAAGCTCAGGGAAGCCCAAGAATCCATGCGACCTAAACCCTCAAAGCCACAGAGCCCACTTTTCTAAATCCCCTGAATCCCCCTTGAACCGCTATAAGACCCTAAATCCTCAGTACCCCAATCCCCGAACCCCTCAAAAGCCCATAGGTGCCTTTAGGGAACCTTAGGGAAGCTTAGGGAGCCTTAGGCCCTAGCCTAAACCCTAAACCCCAAAACCGTAAAACCCTAAACCCTAAAACCCTCAGCCCTAAACGCTAAACCCCAAACCCTAAACCCTAAAGCCCCAAACCCTAAACCCTCAAAACCTCTCAGCCAGGAAGGCCGACGTGAAGCTGGAGTTTTGGTAGCCCAGTCGTACCCTTTTACCCTTTTTTGGGTTATTGGTTCTCTTATAATGTAACCTAAACCCTAAACCCTAAACCCTAAACCCTAAACCCTAAACCCTAAACCCTAAACCCTAAACCCCAAACCCTAAACCCCAAACCCTAAACCCTAAACCCCAAAAAAAGGGTGCCCTTATCATCATATGGTTGCTGGGCTTCTAAGGAGTCCATCGTGGAGACCTTGCGCAGCCAGCGCGGCCGAAGCGAGAGTCCGAAGCGAAACTACTTTGCAGGAGGGGGGTTTAGGGTTTAGGGTTTAGGGTTTAGGGTTCAGGGTTTGGGTTCGGGGTATGTGGTTTAGGGTTTAGGTTTTTGGGTTTTTCGGGTTTAGGGTTGCAGGAGGGGGGACCGAGAGAACCTCGGGGTTAGCATTTGAGGTTCAAAGTTTAACCATTAGGGTCTGTGTTTTTAGGGTTTAGGGTTTAGGGTCTAGGATTTTAGAGTTTCGGGTTTAGGAAATTTCGGGTTTGGGGTTTAGGAGTTTTGGGTTCAGGGTTGCAGGACGGGAGAGAACCTGGGGCGGGGGGCCAACATGGGCCAACTGTCGGCACTCAAAGGGGTTTAGGGGTTTTGGGGTTTAGGGTTTGGTGGGTTTAGGGTTTAGGGTTTGGGGTTTAGGGTTTAGGGTTAGGGTTTTGGGTTTAGGGGGTTTAAGGTTGAGGGGGTCTAGGGTTCATACTTGTGGATCTCAGAGCCCCTTTTCTTCGTCTCTCTTCTTTTAATCTATACTATATTACGTATGTATATATGACAATCTTTCTGGAACTCCAAGACCTCACAAGACGTTGACCTCAAATGAAACCTCTACCAGACTACCTCGTTGATGCCCCCAACCGCCGGCACATCCAGGGGATACTCATCATTGAAACTTGGGCGGCTCTGAACACGTACATGGTCTGGGAAGCTAAGTGTCATATCCACGCAAGTGTCTGTCCACGGAGACCATCCGTACACGCAGACCACGGAACTGTCCACGGACCCCATTGTCCACGGATGTGTTTTTTAGGGAGGGAGGGAGGAAGCAGTGCGTTTTCGAGGCCTTCCAAAACGCACTTTGCTTGCAACTGGAGCTGCAACTGGAGGGTGGGAGGAAGCAGTGCGTTTTCGAGGCCTTCCAAAACGCACTTTGCTTGCAACTGGAGCTGCAACTGGAGGGTGGGAGGAAGCAGTGCGTTTTCGAGGCCTTCCAAAACGCACCTTGCTTGCAACTGGAGCTGCAACTGGAGGGTGGGAGGAAGCAGTGCGTTTTCGAGGCCTTCCAAAACGCACTTTGCTTGCAACTGGAGCTGCAACTGGAGGGTGGGAGGAAGCAGTGCGTTTTCGAGGCCTTCCAAAACGCACTTTGCTTGCAACTGGACGGAGGTAAGGGAGAAAGGAAGAGAGCAGGACTTCCAAAACGCACTTTGCTTGCGACTGGAGGGAGGGGCGGCGGGAGGGAGCAGTGCGTTTTCCAGGTCTTCCAAAACGCACTGCGCTTGCATGGTCTCGTTTCACAGAATTACATGCTGATAGGGGCTCTGGTGCGTTTAGGGTGGTGGCCAAAACGCACTGAGCTCTTTTTCTCGGCGATTCGCACTGTGCATCCCAGCTGGTCCAGGCCAAGTCCTGGTGGAGTTTCGACATGCTTTACTGGTTGTAAGGCGCTTTCGGAATCAGGGTCTATTTTGGATCTAGGAAACCCTAAACCCTAAACCCTCTAAACCCTAAACCCTAAACCCTAACCCTAAACCCTAAAGCCTCCCGAGTCTAGGGATTTAGGGGCACGACCCAGGGCCTTCACGGCGTTGAGGGTTTAGGGCAGATGTGGACCTTCAGAGATTGGGGGGGGGGGGCGGGAAGAGGGGGAAAGGGGGGGGTGCGTTTTGCAGGCCCCCCAAAACGCACGGGGAGGGGAGGGGAAGAGCGGGGGCGGAAGGGGGAAGTGCGTTTTGCATAAACCAAAAACCCCAATCTCTGAAGGTCCACATCTGCCCTAAACCCTCAACGCCGTGAAGGCCCTGGGTCGTGCCCCTAAACCCCTAGACTCGGGAGGCTTTAGGGTTTAGGGTTAGGGTTTCGGGTTTAGGGTTTAGAGGGTTTAGGGTTTAGGGTTTCCTAGATCCAAAATAGACCCTGATTCCGAAAGCGCCTTACAACCAGTAAAGCATGTCGAAACTCCACCAGGACTTGGCCTGGACCAGCTGGGATGCACAGTGCGAATCGCCGAGAAAAAGAGCTCAGTGCGTTTTGGCCACCACCCTAAACGCACCAGAGCCCCTATCAGCATGTAATTCTGTGAAACGAGACCATAAGCCGGGCCACGCAGACCACGGAAACGTCCACGCAGCCACCGGCCACGCATGTGGAAATGACACTTAGCTGGGAAGGTCCCGTGCAGGAGATTGTTCAGGGGCCTATGGTCGGGACCAACGTTGGGTTGGGCGTTCAGCAGGACTTGCAGAAGATGGACGACAGCTGGAGGCGCGCGTGCGCTGTGTGTAGCCCTAAACCCTAAACCCTAAACCCTAAACCCTAAACCCTAAACCCTAAACCCTAAACCCTAAACCCTAAACCGAGATACGGCAGTTTCCAGCCTCCGCCTTTCACTAGCTGTTCGCCATGACTTTGAGGCCAACAAGCGGCTGGTGAAGCGACGGGACGAGCAGATCACGTGGCTTGGATTGGTTCTTCCTTGGGGAACAACTATGAACCCTAAAATTGGGGCCATATATTTACCCTATACTACTATCACTCCTTTTAAGGTATAATTACGCTATACTACTATCACTCCTTTTAAGGTATATGAACCCGAAACCCTCTTAGGGTTCATTTAGTCCCTAAGGTAGGGGTCAACCGCAGGCTTTGCCAATTGAAGCGCTGCCCTGCTCAGGCAGATGATCCTGCTCCTTGACAAGATTGCCCCTTGGCTTAGGGTTCAGGGTTCAGGGTTTAGGGTTTAGGGTTTAGGGTTTAGGGTTTAGGGTTCAGGGTTCAGGGTTTAGGGTTTAGGGTTTAGGGTTTAGGGTTTAGGGTTTAGGGTTTAGGGTTTAGGGTGAGATGCTGGGAGAGTCGGAACTCTGGAGCCACATGGGTCGGGTTTGGCTATGGTTCAACATGGTTCAGCACGCTGACGCTCTGAGAGCATTTTTTGGGCCGACAAGAACTGCTGCAATAAGTGCTTAGGGTTTAGGGTTTAGGGGTTAGGGTTTAGGGTTTAGGGTATAAGGGAGAGGAGTCCATAGGCTTGTGAAAACCAAGACTGGGCTGGTTCTGCCATGCCTACATGGGCTATTCTACCATCTAATCCCTCAAAAAGGGCCCTTTATGGGGTTGGTTAGGGGGATTATACTGTTATACCCTGTAATAAACCCCTTAAAAAAGGGCCCTTTGTAGGGTTGGTTAGGGGATTCTAAGGCCTGATACCTTGGGGACGAAAATGAACCCTAAAAGGGTTTTAGGCTCCTATACCTTAGTAGGACTTATAGTTAGTTCTGGGTTTATGACCCCAACTGTAGGGTTCATGTCGTTTTCAAGATAGCCCATGCTGGTGTTGCGCCATGGCCGTGCGCCGCGGTGGCCCCTCTGAAGGTGAGCCCGCGCCCGACGCGGTGGTTTGGAATGACCGCTGGGGCAAATGCCTTGATCCTTGAAAAGGAACTATGAGCCCTAAAAGGGCCTTTATGGCTTCATATACCTAATTATCTAATTCCCTTCCTTGGGGCACGAGTTATGATCCCTAAAAGGGTGTTAATGGTTCATATACCTCAATAAATAGGAAGCATAGTAGTCAGGGTCATAATGACCCCAATTTTAAAGTTCATTTGGCCTACTCAAGGATGGGCGAGTGTACATCCTGGCAGCTCTGGTCGTCGACGTGGAACTGGCCCTGCTGGACATGTCCAATCTCAACGCGGCCGTGGTGGCACTGAGTGAGCCTTGGGGACGACTTGTGAACCCTAAAAGGGTTTTAATGGCTCATATACCTTAATAGAAGTTATAGTAGTTATGGGTATATGACCCCAATTTTAGGGCTAATTTCGGCTCCAAGGAGGCGATCCAGGAGGAGCTGCCACGCGCTGTTGCGTGCCTGAACATCCACGTCCTTCCTGGCGCCTCTCAAGGCGGAAACAAGCAGGTGGGCCTCCCTTATCCCTGGGGTAGGCAATGCCCAGAAAAGGTGCACACCTCCCCACCCAAAGGACGAGAATCTTTGTTGTAGGAGGCCCTACCCCCCCGCCCCCCCCACCCCCCCAAACAAAAAAAGACAACCAAAAAAAACACAAGAAGGACATTAGAAAAAGGTACCTCAATTTTGGGACCCTCCATGTCACACAAGTTCCATTGATCCTGAATGACCCCTTTGCTTCTGAGGTGCGCCTGGCGATGTCGGGCGACGCTGCGCTGTGTGCGCAGTGGCATCAGCGGCAGCTACAGGGAGGCAAAACCCTCGGTGGTGGCGCCGCCTTCTTCCACTCGCTCCGAGACACCACAAGTGTCGAGCACCAGCAGAACCTTGGGAACCAATTATGAACCCTAAAATTGGGGCCATATACCCTGACAACCATAACTCCTATTCAGGTCTATGAACCATCAAAACCCTTCTAGGGATCATAAGTCGTCCCCAAGGAAGATGACCGAGCTGGTGTCACTCCACTCGGCTGCCGAGACCGGATTCTTGCTGGATTTGCCGAGCGAGTGGGTTCGTGGCTGTCCGGAGAGTGCTACGATGTACCTGCAGCAGGCAGGGTCCTTGTGGTACCTTGGGGACGAATTATGGACCCCAAGAGGGTTTAGGGTTCAATTACCCTTCATAGGAGTTATGGTAATGTAGGGTGTATGACCCCCCAATTTTAGGGTTCACTTCGTCCCCAAGGTACGACTTCGCGGCTGTCTGGGGGCCGGTGAAGGAGGCCTTCTTAGTCCGCGCGCAGGATCCGACTGCGATCCACTTGCTGGTCGACTTCCGCCAATCCGAGGGTGCCAGGTGCTTGTTTGAGCTGCTCTCAGATCGATACCTCTACAACCCACTTGCCCGGGAGCCGACCTACCCCGTCACGTGTGTTCTGGGGAACTTCCAGGATTTGCGCCTGAGGGTTCAACCTGAAGATGCCGGGGGTGTGCCTGGGACCTTTGAGCTCCGGCGCCTTCGTGGGCCGGAGCTGAAAACCCCCCAAGTCATCCGAGTGACGCCGCGCCGGATCAAGCTGGGACGGGATGACTCTGCGGACATCGCCTTGCAAATTGCCCACATCTCCAAGGTTCATGCAACTCTGCAGGTCATCGGGGAGAAGCTCTTCATCCAGGACACGTCTGTGAACGGCACCTGGGTGAACGACCGCCGTATTTCGAACGGCCTGAGGGTGGAGCTGAGACCGCGGGACAGGATATCCTTCTTGCCATCCTACACCCGGGATGCCCCCACCTACGAGGTCTTGGCAGCCCAGTGGTACCCTTTTCCGTTTTTTTGGGGGTTCAAGGTTCCCTTATGAAGTGATACCAACCCCAAAAAAGGGTGCCCCCTTGTTAATGTGGTTACTGGGCTACTAAGAGGTCCAGCCGCCCGCGCAGCTCGTGTCCGCCAGCGAGGCCCGGCGAACTGAAGAGCTGCTGCGGGGTCTTGAGCCGGGTCCCGGGCCCCGCCGTTTTGCGTCCGCTGCTGTCCCGCCGGCCCCGCACCTTGGGGAGTAAATGAGCCCTAAAAGGGTTTGTGGCTCCATAGTACATTTAATAGGAACTCTAGTAGCCAGGGTACATGAATCCCAATTTTAGGGTAACCCTAAACCCTAAACCCTAAACCCTAAACCCTAAACCCTAAACCCTAAACCCTAAACCCTAAACCCTAAACCCTAAACCCTAAACCCTAAACCCTAAACCCTAAACCCCAAGGAAGAAGAAGGCCTCCTCACGGCGTCAGCTCCTGGCCGAGCCAGTCGCGGTCGTCGGCCAGAACCTTGGGGACGACATGAACCCGAATGGGATTTAGGGTTTAGGGTTTAGGGTTTAGGGTTTAAGGTTTAGGGTTTAGGGTTTAGGGTTTAGGGTTTAGGGTCTAGGGTTTAGGGTTTAGGGTTTAGGGTTTATAAGGGTTTAGGGTGTAGGGTTTTGGGTTTTGGGTTTAGGGTTTAGGGTTTAGGGTTTATAAGGGTTTGGGGTTTGGGGTTTCGGGTTTAGGGTTTAGGGTTTAAGGCTCACATACCTGAATAGGGGTTATACATGAACCCTAGAAGGGTTTAGGGCTCTCATCCCTCACTAGGAGTTATAATTGAACCCTAACAGGGTTTAGGGTTCATATACCTCAATAGGAGTTCTAGTAGTACAGGTTCCAACCCCTTAACCCTAAACCCTTATAAACCCTAAACCCTAAACCCTAAACCCTAAACCCTAAACCCTAAACCCTAAACCCTAAACCCAATTTGTGGGGGGTTCATCTCGGCCCCAAGGAAGCGCTCGCGCGAGGAGAGGTCCGTCGTCCATCTGGATGGCGTGGAGGAGCTCGAGGAACCTTGGGGACTTAAGTGAACCCTAAGAGAGTTTAGGGTTTAGGGTTTAGGGTTTAGGGTTTAGAGTTTAGGGTTTAGGGTTTAGGGTTTAGGGTTCATATACCTTACTAAGAATTATAGTAGTATAGGGTACATTAAGGGTTTATGGTTCATATACCTTGATAGGGCTTATAGTTGTACAGGGTATATAAAGGGTTGATGGCTCATATTTCCCGAATAGGACTTCTAGTAGTCAAAGGTATTTGACCCAATTTTAGGGGCTCATGTGGTCTTCAAGGAAGTGGACGCCGGCGACGCCGCCGTAATCTTGGAGGACGAGGGGGACGAGGACGTGGCGGCGTGGGCCGGGCGCCTGGACAATGGGAGCTTGGCGAGCTACATCCCGAAGCTCACGTCTCTTTTCAAGGCCTTTTGGAGCTGAATGAGTCCACTTTTGCACCTTTTTGGGGATACTCCAATTCCCCTATAGAACTGAAAGTGTCCACCTTGTTTGGGTGCTTATATGAACTCAGCAACCAAGCTAAGGGCGTCTCCCAGATTCGGTCCCGGTACGCTGGCCGGCAGCTGCGCCTCAGCGACTTCTTCGAGGCCTTACTTCACTAAACCCTAAACCCTAAACCCTAACCCTAAACCCTAAACCCTAAACCCTAAACCCTAAACCCTGAACCCTAAACCCTTGGTTCTTGGAGAAGTAAGAGGCCGTGGGCGTCAGCGACGACGACCACCGCCTGGCCTTTGCCACGGCCTTGCGAGCGCTCTCAAGGCCTGGCCGGGGGTGATCTGATCCATCTCTCTATCAGTCATACAGTATATAAGCTAATATATATATATATATGGGTACACGCCTATCCCCCCCCCCCCTACCTTTTCTGCAATTTCTGTCTTTTGCACTTTGTCTGCGCTCGATGTTTTTCATTATGTGTGCCAATGCACCAATAAAATAATGCACCAACGTACCACTGTCCAAACCATTTCGGCTCATGGTTGGGACAAGACCCACACCGCACCAACGTACCAACGTCCCAATCATTTGGGCCCATGATTGGGACAAGAGCCCAACCGCACCAACGTACCAACGTCCCAATCATTTCGGCCCATGATTGGGACATAACCCCAACCGCACCAAGGCACCAACGTCCCAATCATTTCGACCCATGATTGGGACATAGCATGAACCAATGAAGAACCGATGTACCAATGTACCAATGTACCAATCATTTCGGCCCATGATTGGTACACAAGATGAACCAATGTACCAATGTACCAATGTACCAATGTACCAATGTACCAATGTACCAATGTACCAATGTACCAATGTACCAATGTACCAATCATTTCGGCCCATGATTGGTACATAGGATGTTTGTACCAATCATGGGCCGAAATCATTGGTACATTGGTACATTGGTACGTTGGGTCATGGGTCGTCCTTTGTTCCAATCATGGGCCGAAATCATTGGTACGTTGGTACATTGGTACATTGGTACATTGGTTCATTGGTACATTGGTACATTGGGTCATGGGTCGTCCTTTGTACCAACCATGGGCCGAAAACATTGGTACATTGGTACATTGGTTCATTGGTTCTTTGGTTCGTTGCTGCATTGGCACTGGCACCCTAAACCCTCTCCTCTGTGTATGTATGTAGGGTGTATGTGTTTTATGAAAAGGTGGAACTTCTACCCACATAGTGTAGGTATATTATTGTATTACACGTAGGCCCCACGGAAACGAGAACAAAGTCCTAAACCCTATTCGTCCCCCTGCCCAGGTAGCACAAAGTCAACACCAACTTCATCGTTTTATACTTTTTTGTTGGGAAGCGGTGTTTATAAACAGGGTCGGTGTTTATAGACAGGTGCTATATGTATTATTTTCTTATTATTGTATATTCAATACTCATTAGATCTTTTCTTTTGATCAACACCACATACTCCCCAGGTGGTCCCAGGAAATAGTGAAAAGATATTTGCTCACAATATTCTCGCTCCCCGCGGCCTATAGTTAAAGATATTTCGCATCACCCTATGCACCCGAATTCTTCCTAGTCTTATGGCTCGAGGCTTACCATCCTTCCTTCTCCATTATCTGTATTTCATATCTATATACATACATGATGTGGGTACTAATTTTTCGTTTGCATTTCCACAGGAGGCAAGCCCTACGCTGTACAAGCATAGGCGTAACCCTATGGGATATAAGCTTTAGGGGCTGACGCCTCAAGCCCTCTAAGCCTTAAACCTTTAAGGTTAAAACTCTATAGGCAGGGTTCAACCCCAGGTCAGGGCTTTAGAGATAAACCCTGAAAAACCCTAAGCCTTTAAACCCTCTAGGGTTTGAAGGTTTAAATGCCTAAGCCTGAGGCTTAGATTCCTAAGCTTTATATGCATTTAAACCTAAGAGTCTGGGCATTTATACCTTCAGCGCCTTTCGGCCTTTAGGGTTTAAACCTTTGAACCTTTTAGAGCCCTATAGGGTTTAAACCTTTGAACTTGTAGAGCCCTATAGGGCTTTGTACGTAGGACCTTTCGGGTCTATGTGAATATTCTCTGGGGGGGGGGGGGGGGAAAAGTATTAATAATATACATAATCTTTATTATTATAATATTAATACTATTAATAATATTGGGAGTATTAGTAGTATTAATATAGTACTAATAGTATTAATAATATCACTAGTATTTAAATATTAATGCCTTTACAGTATTAGTAGTACGAATATAGTATTCAAAGTATTCAAAATATTCATAATATTTATAAAAAGTGATACTATTAATATTATTAATGCTATCAATATTATCAATAGTACAAATAATATGAATAGTATTATTAGCATTAATACTATGATTAGAGTATGTCGTATTACAAGTATTTCTATATATATATACACATATAGAACTAATTGATAGTATTAATCTATCAATGCTATTAATAATATGAATAATATTCATCGTATTAATAGTACTAATCGTATTAATACTATTAAAAAAAATAATACGATTAATCTACTAATGTTATTAGTGTCAATACAAATATTACTGAGAGTATTATACTATCATACTTCAATAATTTTATTATTATTAATACTTTAGAAATATTAATACTATTATAATAATACTATTAATACTCTTAATACTATTATACTATTACTATTATACTATTTTAATACTATTAATACTATTAATACTATTAATACTATTAAACTATTAATACTATTATACTATTGAATACTACTATGAATACTATGAATACTATGAATACTATGAATACTATGAATACTATGAATACTATGAATACTATGAATACTATGAATACTATGAATACTATGAATACTATGAATACTATGAATACTATGAATACTATGAGTACTATGAATACTATGAATATTATGAATACTATGAATACTATGAATACTATTAATACTATTAGTACTATTAATACTAGTAATATTATTAATACTATTAATACTATTAATACTACAAATATTTCTAATACTATTAGTATTTTTAATACTCTTAATACTCTTAATACTATTAATACTACTAATACTATTAATACTACTAACATTACCAATACCATTCATACTATTAGTACAATTAATACTAAACCATTTCACCCATTCCAAAACTGTTGAAATGGTTGAAATGGTTATTTTTTTTATCCATTTCAGCCATAAGGATTTAAAACGGTTGAAATGGTTGAAATGGTTTACTTGGGTTTGGGCGTTTACGGGTGGTAGGGTTTTTAAATGTTTGATGTGACTGCGTTTATAAGCAGTGGCTGTGTTTATAAACAGCGGCTGTGTTTATAAACAGTAGCTGTGTTAATAGACATGGCTGTGCTATAGTTACTCGTTAGGCTACTGTATCAAGACACTGAAAGAGTACCTACTGTATGCCCGCGGGAACACGGGAATACTGTGAGCAAATATCTTCATTTCAGCCCTGTTGGGGGGAAGGCTTGGGTTTGGGCGTTTACGGGTGGTAGGGTTAAACAGTAGCTGTGTTTATAGACATGGCTGCGCTGTAGTTTCTAGTTCGGCTACTCAGCCTACTAGTACTGTATGAAGACATCGAAAATGCAGGGGGGGGGATAGGCGGCAGCCCATATATGTATATGTATGTATGTATGTATGTGCATATGTATATGTATATGTATATGTATATGTATATGTATATGTATATGTATATGTAATGTTGACCTCGTAATAATAAACCCCACCCCCCCCCCCCCCCCTTCAATCAAACCCCCCCCAAATAGAGTAGGGCCCCTTTGAATAAGGATTCCTTTCCTTAGAGCCCCCCTTCAATCAAACTCCCCCAAAAAAAACCAGCCCCGACTTGGCGTACTTTCTTCCCAGGGCTTTATTATTGCGGCCGGGACCCCTGGCGCACTTTAATATCAGGGGGTTCAATAATACGAGGTTAACATTATATGTATATGTATATGTATATGTATATGTATATGTATATGTATATGTATATGTATATGTATATGTATATGTATATGTATATGTATATGTATGTGTATATATATATATGTATGTATGTATGTATGTATGCATGTATGTATGTATGTATGTATGTATATATGTATATATGCGTATGTACAGTGCAGTATATAGATTGGTATGGGATATAGCATAAGCAAAGATAACATAAGATGTATCATGTTCGAGCCGCTGGGCTGTTTCACCACAAGGCGCGAGATCGCTCGAAGCTTCAAAAAAGAGCAGCGCAGATTGACTGGGGAGCTGCTTCTTAGCGGGTCAGGGTTTAGGGTTTAGGGTTGAGGGTTTAGGGATTAAGGTTTAGGGTTTAGGGTTTGGGATGTCAAGGCCCTAAATGCCCTAAACCCTGCAAGCCTTAAACCCCAAACCGTTGAAGCCCCCAAACCGTCTCAAAACCCTAAACCCTGCATCCCCACCCAAAAAAGAACAAACAACCCTTTGAACCCTTTAAATCTAAGAAATTTTTCAACATACCCCTTGGGCATACCCTTAAAAGAACTTAAGGGGTATGGTAATATCCTCCCTTAGACTCCCTTTATATTATACTTTCATAGGTTAAGGGGTATGGGTTTGGGGTATGGTGAATTATTCTTGGATCAAGCGCGTTAAACCCTTTTGAATCCTTAAAACCCTTGAAAACCCTTAAAACCCTTTTAAACGCTTTAAGCCCTTTAAGCCCTTAAACCCTTATGTCCCCCCAAAAAGCCCCTTCAAACTTCAAACCCTGAGCGCTTCAACCCTTAAACCTCCCTCCCCCCCCCACCCCCAACACAAAAAACCTTTAAGCCCTTCAACCCTTCTAAACCCGAAACCCCAAACCCCAAACCCAAACCCCCCCAAACCCGAAACCCTAAACCCGAAACCCTAAACCCTAAACCCTAAACCCCAAACCCTAAACCCTAAACCCTCTGAGCCCCTGAGCCTCTCAAGGAGGAGAGGTCGAAAGCCCTGGAGCGCCTCCCCAGCTTGGAGGAGACGGTGGTCCACGCCCAGGCGCGTTCTGTGCCCACGTCCCGACCGTTTAGGGTTTAGGGTTTAGGGTTTAGGGTTTAGGGTTTAGGGTTTAGGGTTTAGGGTTTAGGGTTTAGGGTTTAGGGTTTAGGGTTTAGGGTTGAGGGTTGAGGGTTGAGGGTTGAGGGTTGAGGGTTGAGGGTTGAGGGTTGAGGGTTTTGGGTTTAGGGCCTAGGGTTAAGGGTTTAGGGTTTAGGGTTCAGGGTTTAGGGCGTTCCAAAAGCCCCTTGAAACATCCCCCTAAAGGACCAGCCTTAT